CAGCTCTGACAAGTGTCCTCATCCCCCAGCCATAGTCCATGATAAGGCTCACCGCCCCACCAGTGCAATTTGGGAACAGCAATTACAATTCATTGCACAACAGACACGTTGTGTTGATTGGATGGTGTTCGGACAGCATGCATCCCAGCTCTCTGCCAAACCTTGACATTATACCGCTTATGATATCGAGCAATAATAAGGATATATTCTGAAAATGCTCGACCATCGAAGGCAGTACTCATGGTCTCCGGTAAAAGAGGCCAAGCAAGACTACAAAATCCAAGGTCTAAGGTGTGTTGACAAAAACATTTCCGCATTTGTGCAGGCTCTGCCGGCATAGAGGTATAGAAACGATAAATTATTCAAGCCTCCACACACTACAACTGATGCATGGTATGTTGCTAAGGTACGGTGCTAAGGTTCGTTTCTAAGGTAGGCACGTACGTTGCATGGTGCATTGCATGTTCAGATTACGAGACTCCAATGGCCATGCAGAAAGATCTTGAAGATCTTTACCGATTATAGTGTTAAGAATACACCTAGCACGAACATCAGTGCAGCCATTCAGGCCCCTGCGTCCTAACACCCGGTCCCCGACACTGCGCTGGGGATTAACACCCGGTCCCCGACACTGTGCTGGGGATTAACACCCGGTCCCCGACACTGTGCTGGGGATTAACACCCGGTCCCCGACACTGTGCTGGGGATTAACACCCGGTCCCTGACACTGTGCTGGGGATTGCCAGAAACACAGATGGCAGAGTCGAGATGCCTCGACCTCCTGTGCCGAGCATGAGGGCAGACAGCAGCTTGCAGCTTAGGTTAAGGTAAGGAAGCAGCCTACCATACGTAGACGTGGCCACGTCTTAAATGTCCCTGGTTCCTTTTCTGTATTGATGCCATTCTACGTGGTCAATACAAAAGCGATCTGCCCTGAAGCTACTGGGTCCGGACCGCACAGGTCCCAGTGCTGACTGCATCCGTGCTACCGGACATCAGTACATTCATACATAATCGTACACACACACATATCCATCCATACATCCAGTGCTACCGGACATCAGTGTCTAAATCAACGAACAGCAAACTACTTCCAAACGCAATCTACGTTAAAAGACTACTCTAAATCGGTGAATGTGCACCATTGCTGGGTGCCTATCTACCATGCGTTCTCCAATGGCGCGTATACATTCTGTAAACGTGCCTTACCAATGTTTTCACTACATCGGCTTCGAGTGGTGCATTTTGCTTGTCCCACATGAAATATCCCTAAGAAAAGGTTGCAAGGAAAAGGGAAATGCCACTTATATACGATATCCCTCCGTGTGATCCGTGTCAATCACCACTGCAGCTCATGCACGCATGTTTGGCAAAAAATATTTCAGCTGTGCACGTGGGAGTTTCAAGGGCTGACCAAAAAACAATGCACTTTAAACTAGAACCACTGGTCCACGCTACACTAATGGTTTGTTCACTCAGGTATTCACGTCCGTTGCGCGTGAAAGGCAAGTGACATCATAACAAAACTTTAGCGTGTTATAGGTACTCGGGTGTGCTTAAAATGACATCCAAAGGGATGCCGGTGGTGTAGTGGTTAACGCGTCTGCGTTAACCGCTGCGCATCTGGGAAACCAGAGGTATGGGATTTGATTCCCCGCGGTGTCCACCCTTCCTGCCAGGGTGAGAGGCAGGCGATGCCGTATAGCCTCAGCAGCTGAGTGCGTCGTAAGGCCCCAGTGACACACACAGACACACCAAATGACATCCAAGAAGGCTTGCTCGTTACGCGTTACAAATTTAGTTCTCTGACTACTTTGTTTTAAACTTTCACAGCATTTATTGCATGTAGACAAATAAATGGGTGGCAAACATTACAGAAAAATCATGGTGAAAAAGGAAGACAAATGAAATGCATTACTTTCATAGTGGTAAGCACGGATTACAATTATATTTCTCTTCACGAGCGGCCGCTTTGAATCAAAACTGTGAGGTATTGAGAACGATTTCAAGAAAAATGGTGTAACCGATCAAATCGGACACGTCTGATGTAACAATAAGTGAAAAGCTAAAGAAAAGGTAGCACTCCCTTTAATGGCTTCCCTTGGGCCAGGACCCAATTGAATCAACCGGTTGTGATTAATGAGAACAGTCTCGTTTTCGTTCACTAATGGTGACGCGAAGGGTGAATTCACGGGTCGGACCGGGAAGAGGAGTACTCCAGCAGGACGGGTGACACCGCACACGGCACGAGCTTCACTGGATTGATCAGGACAAGGAGTGGCTCCAGCAGGACGGGTGACACCGCACACGGCACGAGCTTCACTGGATTGATCAGGACAAGGAGTGGCTCCAGCAGGACGGGTGACACCGCACACGGCACGAGCTTCACTGGATTGATCGGGGCAAGGAGTGGCTCCAGCAGGACGGGTGACACCGCACACGGCACGAGCTTCACTGGATTGATCGGGGCGAGGAGTGGCTCCAGCAGGACGGGTGACACCGCTTACGGCACGAGCTTCACTGGATTGATCGGGGCGAGGAGTGGCTCCAGCAGGACGGGTGACACCGCACACGGCACGAGCTTCACTGGATTGATCGGGGCGAGGAGTGGCTCCAGCAGGACGAGTGACACCGCACACGGCACGAGCTTCACTGGATTGATCGGGGCGAGGAGTGGCTCCAGCAGGACAAGTGACACCGCTTACGGCACAAGCTTCACTGGATTGATCGGGGCGAGGGGTGGCTCCAGCAGGACGAGTGACACCGCACACGGCACGAGCTTCACTGGATTGATCGGGGCGAGGAGTGGCTCCAGCAGGACGGGTGACACCGCACACGGCACGAGCTTCACTGGATAGATTGTATGAGCGTTTCCTTGAAATGCACAGCCCCTGGCCGACTGGCCGACTCGCCCATGGCGGACTCGAGGCCCATTTCCGTCACAGAACCCCTTGTTTGGCGCGATGGGCCCCTGGCCGACATAAAGGGCACATAATTGGCTCAGGGACCCCGACCAATAAAATCGCACGAGCTCCGGTCTGGTTCCTGCGAGGAAAGGGAGCTACAGAAAGACCCAGACCAACGCAGAGCCCGGTTCTGGTGGTACCTGACCGACATAGAGACCCTCATAGACATAGAGGACCCATAATCGGCGCATAGGGCCCTCGGACTGGAGGGTCCGGCTATACGAATCGAGCCCCTTAATGCGACCTCCGGGGAGTGATCTTTCGGTCACAGAATTGGTTACTTCTCAATGATTGGGTGACAACATAGGTCACCGAAGACAGAATGAAGTAGTGTATGAAATAGGAAACTGCAAACACTTGGCATTTGAGAATTTGCCTGTCATCCGTACTGTATGACACCGCTTTTGAGCATACTTGTAAACGATTATAAAACAGTGAGTGACACACGCTATGTATATCACCGAGTGATGTACGAGGTACAAGTGGTCAAAAATGAGAAAGTGAGCATGCTGCTCGACGCCTTAATTCCGGATAAATATCGGCCGAATCTCAATGTCTTGAGTCGACCCTGTACGCGCAGCTCTGACCCCCCCCCCCCCCCCCAATTGGTATGTTGTGTTGCATGCATGCATTTAAATGCTGAAAGCTTTCGATAACCTGTACTAACAGCATAACATGAATTCCGTAAACGTTTAGCAGTAAAGTACTCAAGCCTCTCCCCTCACTGCACCTGGTCCTGCCGCTGACGGTTGGAATGGATCATACATCACTTTAATAGTGATCAGTTTGATCGGGAACGGTACTGTAGAAAACTTCGGCAGAAACATCATTTTGGTCTTAGCAAGAAGCCATGAACAGCACATTGCAGCTTGAATGAACGGTTTTAAGTTTTGCGATTCTCTAATTCCTCCAAGTCTTTGAATAAACCATGATTCTTCCTGCTGTGGCTCCCAAAAACATTCGTAGGGTCGCTGCTCGATAACGCAGGGAACTGCTAATTTTTGCAACTTATGTGAAACTAGTATTTAATTTAAAAGTTGTCAATTTCATGACACCAACTCTAGCGGTGAGGAAGGCAACTGCAAATAATCTCCAAGGGGAGGGCGTGGGAGGGAGGGATGGCGTATGTCTCTTGCTTAGCGGCGGGGCTAAAGCGGGTGGAAGAGATTAGTTATGTGCCAGTGCGTGCCTTCACGTACCTAGCGAGGCATAAACCTGCTGCAGGTCCTTTTTTCTTCAGTTCCTTTCTCTTGGATTCTTGAGTCCTGATCGAAATTATCTCGAATTCACACAGGTAGCTCCACGCCGGAATCTGAGGCGGACGGGCCCTGACCCTCTGCTTCGAGGTCGAGTTAGTCATGCACGCTTCTTTGTGTTCGATAGTGGAATGCGGAGCCGGATACGCTCAAATGATGAGCAATCCAACGCCACTTAAGCAACCGACTCCCTCCCTTCCTCTCCCTCCCTCTCTCTCCTGATCCAAAGCTTGCTCGAAGCCGGATACGCGTCAAATGATGAGCAATCCAACGCCACTTAAGCAACCGACTCTCTCTCTCCCTCTCCCTCCCTCTCTCTCCTGATCCAAAGCTTGCTCGAGGCCGGATACGCGTCAAATGATGAGCAATCCAACGCCCCTAAGCAACCGACTCTCTCTCTCTCTCTCTCTCTCTCTCTCTCTCTCTCTCTCTCTCTCTCTCTCTCTCTCTCTTCTGATCCAAAGCTTGCTGTCTTCCATGACCTGATCTGTCTGCTCAGCCTGTAGGTATGACGTCACATCACGCCAGGCAACAGCTGTGTCGGTTGCAGAGCTCGGAGAGGGGCTGCAAGCGACCCCATCACCCGCTGACGGCGCTACGCCAGCCGCCGTTGCCCCCGCCGCCTGCGCTGGGAGCATGCACGGAGGCGTGCGCAGAGCTCGGACGATCTCAGACGAGTGGGCAATTAGCCAGCGGCAAGTGCTGTCAAGGTCGCGGTCGGCTGGCGGGGCAGAGAGAGGTCGGTACGGCTAGGGAGCCCGCCCGCGCGGCCTCGCCGCTGAGGGCGCTTATAAGGCCCGGAGCTGGGGATCTCAGCATCAGTCGCTTGTTGCAGCCGTCCCAGCACCACAGATCTGAACACCACAGAGCCATGCAGCTGGTGAGTGGTGTGTGCTGTAGTGGCCCGTACAGAGGTCATGTGCCGGGCGGCTGAACGAGAGGATAACCAGGCAGATGAAGCATGGGGGCCGTCCCATAGGTGCTGCTCGTAGTGTTTAATGCTTCTTCAGGAAGGGAATTTCATTATTGTTGTAGAAGTTTGTCTAGTCGAGGACTTTTAAGCTATTCGTTCTTTGCAGCCACTAACTTTGGGATACTCAGGCAAGTTGCGGCACTTTCGAAAACCTATAAATATTTAGGGGAACCTCATGCCCGGTACACACTAAAGAAAGGAACTTTGTAAAATAAAACTTAATGCCAGAAGCAATTACGTCCTTTGTTAACAAGAAGGGAGAGGTCTATTTTTATTGAGCCACTGTATTACATCTTTTTATTATCAAAATTGTGCGCATATATTGCAAGCATTGCCCTAGCTAACGCACTGGCCTTCTCGCCAGTTCGTCTTCGCTACACTGGTGGTTGCGGCTGTGGCTGCTCCGCAAAACTACAACAATAATCAGTTCGTGAGCTCTGGACAGCCTGAGATCCGCATTCTCAGCCAGAGGTTCGATCAGGACCCCAACACTGGAAGCTACGAGTACAGCTACGAGCAGGACAACGGTCAGGCGGTAAGTTTTTAAGATTTCACCCATGCTCATTTCGCGTCATGCCAAGTGGATTGCTCATCTGGTGAACTGTTGACACTTCATGACTAAATCCTTCCGATTAACGTAAGTAGTCATCCGCACAATTGCCAGCGTTGTACTTTATGGTCAGCAGTATAACGTTAAGTGCCAACCAAGCGAGGTGCTATTGGTTTGAATTTTGCACTTCAGGCTATCCATACTTCTGGGTAAGAAGACGCGAAGGCTGACTTTCCTAATAGGTGATTAAATCCCACTCCATATGCAAAACAGAATCGGTTCTAACTTTATGGTGGCAGTGTTCGTCTCATTTGTGCGTTGCCAACTGGATTGCTCATCTGGTGAATTGTTAAACTTATTGGCTGAATGTCTTTGATTAACGTAGGTGGTCATCCGTACACATTTCCAGGGCTGTACCCTACGGTCAGCAGTATAACGTTAAGTCGCAAACCAGCCAGGTGCTATTGGTCTAAATCTTGCACCCGAATCAAGCCTTGTCCGCCTGGGTTGGGGAACTCAAACCCGGCTCCAAATAGATTAGCATTTCAGCGCCGGTCATAGATAGGGTCGACTGATAAAGATCGCCAACTTCACTTGACTACGGGCCAGACCTGCGTTTGGTTGCTACGATACTTTAGGACGTCTATACTTTTGAGTAAGAGGATACCGAAACTGACTTCCGTGATGGCTGACTAAATTTCACTTCACATGCAAAAGGCAATCGGTTTTAACTCTATTTCCGAGGTTGTCGTCAAGCTGATGCGTTAGTCACGCGGCACATAGTCCTAGAGATCAGCATTCACTGATAGCACATCATCGTGCATTCTGCCTTGGCAGGTGGCTGAGACAGGTCAGGTGTATCCTGGACCTGAGCCAGAGACCGGCAGTCTCACCCAGCAGGGCAGCTACCAGTTTGTGGGCGATGACGGCAACACCTACCAGGTCAGCTACGTCGCCGACGAAGGAGGCTTCCAGCCGCAGGGCGCCCACCTGCCAGTGGCGCCCGCCCAGATCCCGGAGTACGAACAGCTGAGGATTGAACACCCCGAGCTGTTCTGGGCAGAGCAGCAGCAATACGTCTAGAAGTACCGCGTGTTCAGGCCCTCTGATAGTAACATCAACCCAAGTTAACGTTTGTAGGTGGCGTGCAGCACGGAGCGCTCGCTACATTCAAATGCGTTTAATGCAGGCTACGCGAACAAACTACAGGTTTATTAAGGAATAAGATGGTGAAATTTGTATGCACATCCTTTTTATACACTCCTGTGGTTCTCTTCTGTGCGGTCGTGCTGTACGCCTACAGATACTGTTGGTGTTTGCTCAAATGCCTTGTATGAGTACTGTATAATGACTTTGGGCAATGCATGCTAGTCTTTATCAATACACTTACGCAAAGGCGTAGTTTGTTTTTATGGCGGTCGTGGGCTCGGTATTCAAGTTGAAGCCGAAGGACTTGTTGGAACAGAACGCTGAAAAGTGAGTGCTTTGCTCCACCGTGCAAATGACATCGTGTTATAACGTGTTGATAGTTTGATGTGCACAAAGGGCAGCAAACGGGGAGCACGATGTAATCTGCATAATTATGAATGCACACATTGCAGACATGGGTCACAGTACAAAAAATTCAGTCCATGTCGGAGCACGAGTCCTGGTGTTCTGAGTTTGAATCGAATTTCTGACTCCATTGTTGAAACATGAACCATCCCGAGTGTAAAGCTCGAATGCAGCCACTTTTCACGGCTCATGATGCTGATTATGCGCTGGAGTCCTCTGGTGGATATTGCAGATGCTGCAATTTGCAACAGGTAGACTTACATGCAGCCTCACTGACCCAAACGTAATTCTAACCCTCTCAGAATGGGGTCCGGATGGTGGTCAAGAAGATGTCATTTCCCCCCGCCCGTCCCCCTATCCCTCCAACCCCCTCTTATTTCCTACACCGGAAAATGGAAAATGCCGTACCATAGGTGCTTCCCTTCTGCTTTCTGCGATTCATTCCACCGGTAAGGAGTCAAATAAAACAATACACAGGGTTAGTTAAATGTGGCGTAAAGACATTGTGGCATTGGTATCAAGAGCATGTTCTGCGCCAATATTGTGAACCATGATGCCTTGTCTTGACATTGGCCCAACCACAATGTTTATTTCCAGCTATGAAATAACAGTCTACATCCATATCCCCTGCACCTGAGTCCGGACTATTGGAACTCAGGTGCTAGGGATGTGAAACGCTTGATTATCTTTTTTGGCCCCGATCGCCGCATGGTTTGTGGAATTGCGACATTTGAATGAAGTTATTATGACATCATGAATGACAGGGTGACCTTGAAATACTCTCCCCGAAATAGTCTCCCCATCTTCGCGGGCGTGTAACTCGGAAGCTAGAGGGGTTTAGGTCTGAAGAAGAGCAGCGCTGCGAACTGCATCAAATGATCTTCAAAATGACTATTTTAGTTTAGAATGTCATAGAAATGTGGAACACTTCTCTCAAATCGAAATACAAGCACGTGCTCACAACATTTACGAAGTTTTCCTGGCGGATGCTACTACGTCTTATATCACCCTCCCAACACTATTCAGTATATAAGTGACCACAGATAAGGGCGCTGACATATGGCAGGTCAAAGTCAGGCGACGCATTCAGCGGAGACGATTTATGTGGAACCGGCCCCTATGGTTCTACAAAAGAGTGCTAGATCAGACCATACATCCCTGAGACACTTTCTTAAGCAACGCATTAACTGAAACTGGAAATTGCATTGACCTAGGATCAAGTATGAAGATCTTACAAAGTCAAAATTATTTTTTTCTAGAGCTCGCTGTATGGGGTGGTTTCTGATGCTCGTTTTAATTTCTGTAATAACGCGAACTGCAGTATGCATCGTTCATGGACTTCGTTAAAGTCAGAATAAATGACTGACCTAAAATAACCCTGGTCAACATTTTGCTTGTTAGTAACATGCCGCCATGCGTAAGACTTGACGCTTATTCAAATGTAAAAATAAAGGCAACCTTGAATGATTTTGGTCAACATGACATTATAAAGGTCAAACATTGTCGCTGACCTTCAATAAGCACCGGTGAGCTTTGCTTAGAACACATATCTATATTCACGATGGATGCACGAGAAGGTCTGAAGGCCCGTTGGACACCAATCTGGAGTTTGACCATGGGTGACCCCATGTTACCAAAAGGTCATGACCCAGAAACCGCACATTTTAACACATCTAAGTATGCGTGCAAGTCAACGAACTCTGAAGATTTGGTGTCCTTAGCTCTCTTTTTTTAGATCTAAGGGTTGCCAAATTGACCCCCTCCATACCTGAGCAAAGGGTATTCAACCGGCCACCCGGGAGTTTGTTATCACATGTTTTTCACTATTTTGTTGCATACTTTTGCGCAAGCGGATTTCCATGCATTTCCTAGTGTGTAAGGCCTAAAATGCTTCGAAGTACACATATGTTCTTTTATGGCTTTGTTATGTTCTTTTGTGCACTGAGTTCTGACTTCAGGTGACTAACGCGAGCAACTGCCGGGACAAGGTCTTTTTAAAACATTCCATTTATGCTTTGCTATGCCTGATGTTTCATAGGAATTCAACATAATCCCAGTTTCCGGTTTGTACATTATTCAGTCTGTTTTCCACCCTTGATCTTGATATGTTCAAGATGGATAGGATTCCGGGACCAAGGTCCATAAGCTCAGATATTTCGAGCTAGAACCGCTAAGTTCGTTCGTCATTAGATTTATTACACGATCCGTCCTAACCTCTTTTGTTACTTAATAGCCGACACAGCCATGACTTACTTAACGCTGCGGACCAGAGCTCAATCAGCACCCATCAGGAGAGAACAAAGGTGAGCGCCTATGTAGAAATGCGGATGGGGATGACACTAGCTGCGCCGCTGCACCGAACCATTAGCGCGGTTGCTACCACCGGCTGCAAGCTATTCCAGTCGGTGGAAAAGCAAACCCCTCAAGCCACACAAACCCACCCTGCCACTTGTGGTTGAATGTCAGGCGTTTTCTTAGTTAGTAGGAGGTTAGGCGCAAAATGAGATGTCAGGACAGGCTTTTTCGCAATGCTCACTCAAGGCTACTGAAACGTCGGACAAGAAATGCTTAAAGAGGGTTTGCAGCTGTTGGTAATTAGTGGCCATGCGGAGGTTCTTGCTGGAGTCCACTCTAGGTCAGGCCACCACCAGCCAAGATCTTAACTGCGCGCCAGAATGCGCCATTGACAAAGCACGCTGCTCCAGTCCGCTGCCACCTTTCATCAAGTACGGGCATCTAGCATAAGGCTGGAGCCTGCGATATCAGCGCCATTTACTCGTAGCTTAGCTTTTACAGCCTGAAAACAGATGGCAGAGTTTCACGGCGTTGCAGTTCCGGCCCGCGCTGCGGGCCACGGAGATGGGTGTTGTTTCTCGACATGTTTGGTGGGTCAAAGTTGTGTAAGTTGCGAAGTGGGGACATGTACACAACAATTCTCGGATTAATCCACTTATATTCTGGTCACCCGCCATGTATGCGTTCATGCGTGATTAGGGTAGTTTGATCGGTACAAATCCTATGGTACACTTCAGTGAAACATCGTCTGCACACCATCCGTCCCTCTTATCGTCTATCTCGCTTCATCCTGCATCCTCGCGGCACCCCGCTTGTCCGGGACAGGATGCATGCGTCAGCCACGTGTGGGCCGAGAGCCCCGTGGGAAGGGGGACCCCGGCCGGGTACCCGCGCATGCGCGGGTTAAAGCCCGGCGGGTGGCCCCCCAGGCGCATGCACGTCTGTCCCATCGTTAACCATTTTCCTTCATCCCATAGCCCTGAAATGGTCATGTCTGGTCGAAAAGGCTCTAATCCAAAAACCAAAAACCAAAAAAACATCGTCTGCACACATCCGACCTTCTTATCCTCTGTCTTGTTTCATCCTGCATTCCAACGACACCTCACTTGTCCGGGGAGGCTGCATGTGCCAGCCACAAGTAGGCTGAGAGCCTGTGAGAAGGGGGACCCCGACCGGGTACCCAGCGCACATGCGCGGGTTAAAGCTCGGCGGTTGGCCCCCAGGCGCATGCAAACCTGCCCCACCGTAGACCAATTTCCTCCATCCCATAACCCTGAAATGATCATTTCTGGTCCAAAGGGCTCCAATCCAATAACTAAACCGAGCAACCAGTCGTCTTTCTATTGCCAACGAGGCACGAGCGACATAATCAGCTTAAATAAAACGCTGTGATCACCGCTGAATGATGGTGAAGCAAGTCCTGATCGAAATCGTCCCTCAAATTCGCACAGGGTAGCTCTCCACTCGAGTCAGAGGCAGATGTGCCCTGGCCCTTTGTTTTGAGGCCGGGTTATTCATGCACGTTTCTTTGTGTTTGGAAATGGAATACGGAGACAGATAGGCGCCAATTAATAAGCAATCCAACGCCACGGGAGCGATTGCTTCCACAGTCTTTCACCCTATCTCTCGTTCGCTATGTTCCATGCCGTGAAACAGGGTTCTGTCCTGAGGGAACGCAGTGGAATAACGAAAGCACAAATTTTGCGCAGCAAATAACTTAATGCATACAAGGCGCGGCTTCCATGCATTGAGTAACTACATATAAGGTAGTGTAAGCATTTTTCGGTGTAACTCTCCTCATGCCGCCGGCGATATTCATTTCCCTCATTGGTTCCTATAACAATATATCATATATAATGGAGCTGCTATCGTTGATGTGGCTGGTTCACCCGTCGTGACCCCAGCCACTTCTGAAATTTGCTGATCTAAGTTTGTTTCTCGTAAAATGTATTTGGATTGGTGGCGATGTTCGAGTTTGTGGATCATCCACCATCATCACCCGCTGACGGCACTTCGCTAGCAGCTGTTGCACCCGCCGCCCGCGTTGAAATCAGAGCCACAGATTTCCAGAAATTACTGTCCAATATCCGATCCGAACCCCTATGGATGGACCAGCACAATTTTTCCGCCCAAGTGATGTCAAAAGTCAGGATGTCCATCATTTTCAAGTCGCTATATCAAATCACTTTTAAGTAAAGCCGACAGGCCCAGCCACTGCTGATATCGCTACATTCCCTCATCTTAAACGAATGAAAAGGAAGACAATGATTGCTGGTAAATAATGCACCTATTGCGTACCAATTTGCAACACGGTAGAATGATATCAACTTTCCAAAAATTCCGGAGATTTCTGCCCCTGTTCGTCGAATTTCAAACTTAGACTTCGGCAATTTCTGAAAATCTAAAAATTTCCAGTCAAGTGGGCACATCAACCTGGACGCCTGCGCGGGGGCATCCATGGACCTCGGACGATCTCGCGGGTGGGCAGTTAACCAGCGGCAAGCGCATTCAAGGGCGTCGTCGGC